TACAAAATTCATTGCAGAATAATAACATAAAAAAATGTTTTTACGTTCTCACACTATTTACTGTTTTTATTTAAACTGTCTCCTATATATATATATATATATATATATATATATATATATATATATATATATATATATATTATTGACCACTAAATATATATTGAGTAATCAATATACAATGAAAGTTTGAACATCTAACTCCCTTATATTTAACAATATTTCATATTATCCATTTATTTATATTTTAGTTTTAAATATATTTTATTTTTCTAATATTTTATTATTGTATTTTGTTTCATAGATGATAAATATAATACATTTATATATCTAAGTTTATTTTAAAGATCATACAATTAAGAGCATTGTTATTTTTTTATTTTTCTAACATCTAATTGATTAAAAAATGAGGGTTTTATAGAATATTCTAGATAGACCTGCTGATGAAGTTATATTAGTTAAAAAGAATTTAAAAAATTAAACAAAAATGTTAACTATTAGATGTTATTTAATAAGAAGTTAAAGTTAATGGAATAATAAGTTATAGTATAGCTTTAAGCTTTATCATCACAAATTTTCTCGTTGAAGGTGTTCTTAGACTAGTCGGTACAGGCCCGTGGAATGACGTTATTGCCTATGTGGCACGTCCTCCATGACATTACCACAGGGGGAACACCGCCCCCCTCCAGCCGTTACGTGGTGTTTCGTTTTCGTTTCAACGGACGATAACGCGTCTTTTTTTCAATTTCCTCACTTTACCATTGATTAACGGTAATACTAAAAAAAAACTTTACCTATAAAATCACAACTTTTATCTCTATTTAATATAAAAAGCACCACTTTTCTCTCTATTTCATATATTTTCAAAACAATAAAAAAAATGAATGCATTTGGTGATAGTGACGACGATGATATGTTTGTGTCTATGATGTAGGAGTATTGCACGAACGTGTTACTACGACCAAATCCAGCCCCCTTATTAACCAAGCGTGGGGCGTTAAACAGATATCGCGAAGAAGGGCACAAACGTTTAGTTCACGATTATTTTGCGGATGATTGCGTCTACCAGCCACGCGATTTCAAAAGAAGGTTGCATTTGTGGAAAAATGTTTTTGTTCGGATAGCCAACGCGTTGGAAAGCAGGTATTGTTTCTTTCAAATATAGATTTTGCATTATTTAAATACAATGCTTTGTTTAAATATAGCTTTTACATATTAAATATACGTTTAGGTATGAATTTTCCAAATGAGATATGATGTTAGAGGTAAGCAAGGATTCACATGGTTGCATAAATGTGTTGCTGCAATTAAGCTTATGGCAATGGGAGAGTCGCCTAATTCGACTGACGATTATATGAGAATGTCTGAGAGAACCGCAAGAGGAAGTTTGTATAGATTGGCAATGGGCGTTGTTGAAACCTTTGGTGACGTTCATTTGCACAAACCTTCTTTGAATAATATACAACAACTATATGCGGCATATGAAGAAAGACATGGTTTTCCGGGTATGCTAGGAAGCATTGATTGCATACACTGGAACTGGAGAAATTGTCCCGTGGCGTGGAAAGGCCAGTACACAAGTGGTCAGCATGGAACGTCTTCGTTGGTATTGGAGGCTGTTGCGTCCCAAGATTTATGGATTTGGCATGTTTTTTTCGGGGTTGCGACATGTTTTTTTGGGGGTTGCGGGTTCGAATAACGACGTGAACGTTCTTGATCAGTCGCCAATATTCGACGATATTTTGTCAGGAAAGGCACCAAATGCTCCTTTCACAGTGAATGGAAATGAGTATAAGTTTGGGTATTACCTTACAGATTAAATATATTCAGCATATTCCACATTCGTGAAGGCGTTTCGACACCCAGTAACACCAAGAGAAAACAAGAAGGAGCACGTAAGGATGCGAAACGTGCTTTTGGAGTTCTGAAGTCGAAATGACACATAGTTGAACATGCAGCATGACCATATCAGTTATACGTTCTACAAGATATTATGTATGCATGAATCATAATCCATAACATGGTGGTTGAAGATAAAGGACGAAACATTGCGGAATATTCGGCTTCGGAGCCCAGACACTTGCAATTTCAACTCGGGACAGCGGAATATTTACATAGGGCCGTAGATATTCAAGAGGCACGAAAACACAGACAACTTCGAGGGGATTTGGCTGATTTTATGTACGATGGAAATGAAAACGAATAAATTATGGGCAAAATGTAATTTTTTTTAAATGTTATGTTTTCGTAATGTTTTCTAAATGTTATGTTTAATTAAAAAATAGGTTTTATTTAAATAACATGTTTTAATTAATTAATTAATTTTGTTTAAAAAATAAAAATTAAATCGAAAAAAAATAAAAAAAGAAATGATGAAATAAAAAATTAATGATGTTATAACTAGTTGCTTATTTCCTCCGTTTGATGTTATAACGCCACAATGACATGGGTGATAATTTTTGGGTGTGATAACACCCCTTAACTAGTTGCTCACACCCACTAGTCTTTATAAAGATACCGGACTTTGTCGAAAATGATAAAAAAAACAATGGAAGCTGACAATTCATTTGCCCGTCGTTACCTCGAATTATAACCGTTGAAAAAAATGTGAATTTTGGGTATAAAAGTAGACAAAATATAGAACTAATTATCCGAATTTGACTTTAATTCTTTATGGAGAAACACAGCTTACTTTTAAAAAGTAAAATCTATTACTCCGTATTTTCTTTCTATAATTTCTACTTAATAATAAACATGTATCGAGTAACGCACCAGTATAACATTCGTTTAACAGTAACAGAGATAAAAAGTTGTACACTTTTATATAATATTTTCTTTTTCCTTCAATTCATTTTAATTTTACAATTAATGTAGGATAAGATAAAGGCGTGGGAGTCTTTATTTAGTGGGTGGAAGCCGCCGGTTTGCACTTTAAAGATTGCTGCAAGTCAAGACTTACCAAGTCTTCAATGGCGGATCACGACGACCACCATAAACACCACTCCAGCTCGATTCACCACCTACTAGACCCTGCTTCACCAGAAGAAACCGACGGCAGTGGTGGTCCTACCCGCCGTTCCCGTGGTCGTCCACCGGGATCCAAGAACAAACCCAAACCACCGGTCATCGTCACCCGTGATAGCCCCAACACCCTTCGCTCTCACATTCTTGAGGTATCCGCCGGCGCAGACATCGTCGAAAGCCTCAACGTTTTCGCTCGCCGTAGAGGAAGGGGAGTTTCTGTTCTGAGCGGTACAGGCTCCGTAGCTGACGTCACTTTGCGTCAGCCTGCGGATCCTTCGAACAACGCGGTGACGCTCCATGGGAGGTTTGAGATACTGACGTTTTCAGGCACGGTGCTTCCGCCGCCGGCGCCTCCCAATGCTGGTGGGTTGTCGGTATTTTTGGCCGGCGGAGGAGGACAAGTGGTGGGTGGGATCCCGGTTGGTACATTAGTTGCTTCCAGCCCGGTGGTTCTTGTGGCGGCTTCTTTTGCGAATGCGGTGTTTGAGAGACTGCCGTTGGATGAGCCGGAGGAGGAAGGTGGAAGCGCACAAGTTCAACCGACGGCTTCTCAGTGTTCGGGGGTAACAAGCGGCGGCGGAGGGGTTTCTGTTTTTAACACGGCGGCGGCAGGAACCAACAACAGCGGTTCCGATTACCCGTTTACAGGTGATGTAATGGGTTGGGGATCGAATTCAAGAACTCCTTACCAACGAGATTAATATTTGAAAGTTCAAGTTTTGTACTTTTATCTTATCAATGCAATTATGCAAATGAAAACGAACAAGAATTTGGAAATTTTGCATGTACTTTTGATCATTAATTTCAATGATAAGTTTTTAATTATTTTTTTAAATAGTATTTTAATCTTAGATAAATTAACCATTAAACAAGTCGATTTATGTTGAAATTCATAAAAAAATATCTAAAGAATTATGAGTTCAATACATCCTCTCTTTGTCTGAAAGACAGATATTTCTCGCTCCTATCACTTGTTCACAAACTTCATTAGAATTGTAAACGAACACAAATAATTACATGTTGTTGGTTCATTTAAATTAACCGAACACAAACGGATAAATAAGCGGGTTTTCTTTTTAATATTCGTTTGTTTAACAAATTACATTGTTCATGTTCGTGAATATGTTATATCAACATAAACGAACAAATATAAACAAACACAATTGAATATATACGAACATATAATATAGTAATGTAATAAAATTAATTGAACATAAATAAATATAAGTAAACTTAAATGAACTAATACAAACGAACCATATAAACAAACATTCACGAACATAAATGAACGAAGGAGACCATTGTTTATGTTTGTTCGTTTAACTTACCGAACAAGAATTTTTGTTTATATTCGTAGTTTATTAGAAAACGAACTTCCCGTCAAACGGTTTACTGAACGTTCGGTTCATTTACAGTTTTAGATACAAACATTATAAAGTTGGTTAATATTATGTCAAATAGCATAACAATTATTTAAATGCCACTTTAAGAGCATATTTTATATTTTATATGATTATGGTGAAGTCGATCGAAAGTCAACCTTCAAAGTTTGAGGCTAACGAATCTTCCTAGAAGCGATGTAGGAAAAACTTACTGGGTTTTTGAGATGTGAAGGTGTAAAACAATAAAAATATAATAATAATAATAATAATAATAATAATAATAATAATGGTAACATATATTTACAACATCCGATGAGAAGTGATATCGAGCAATTATATGCGACACATAGCAATAAACACGGTTTCTCATGAATGATTGAAAACATTGATTGTATGCATTAGGCGTGGGTAAATTGTCCCAATGCAGGCGGGGTCAATAAACATGCAGTGATCATGCATATCCTACGACAATGCTAAAGTGTGACAACCCGAAAAAATTTTGTTTTTAAACCCAGTCAATCAACTCCACTGAGTGTCAAACTCACTGGTAATGAGTTCCAGCCTGGTTAAAGGTCATTCTAAGGAGTTTTAAGCCTAGTACACTTAAGGAATGAG